TTTTTTTTTTTTTTTGTTTTTTATGTTCAAATTTTTTCAGTTTGTGAGTGCGAAAAATCTAGTTTATTCATTTTTACTTTTATTTATATTCTTTTTATTTATTTTTTATTGGTATTACTCAAATAATTTTGTCCCCTTGAGTTTTTAATTCTCTGGATTATGAACTATAGGCTTTTGTAATTTTGTTGTTCAGGCTTATAAAGTCTTATTGTTAAATAAATTGTTTTTTACTCTGGACATAGGCTTAGTTAATTTATCTTATCCTATTTTCCTTATTTTTACACATTGTACAACCCACGGAAACACTCGTAATAAGTAGGAATCTTTCCAGTTAAAAGGAAATTTAGGTTTTTGTAACTCATGAATCGTAATTTCTGTAACTCATGAATCGTAATTTCTATGAATTTGAAACGGCGCCGTTTTTCATTTTGAAACCTGCAAAAAGTGGAAACAGGAGGATCATATAAACCATTAAAACTCTGGAAAAGATGCGTAACTTTTTTTTGTTATAGGAAGGATTTTTACCGTGTGAGCAGACGCAGTTTTTTCATTCAGGTGATGAGTGGAGAGGATCGTAGTTTAAATGTGGACGATGGAGAGGAGCAGGAGGGAGATAATGAAATGCAAGATGAAGATGGTTTAGAACCGAGTGATTTGTTAGATAAAAAAATTAGCGACCTTCAAGTTGCGGTTAGTTTCGTTCTTTATGAACTGCTTGACTTTTCAGGTCTATAGGATTTCAGTTTAACTTGTCTAGTAAAAACATTTTACAGTTGGAGGAGTCTCCGGATGATTATGATAATCGGATAGAGCTCATTAACTTGCTAAGGAAGAATGGTGACCTTGAGGCTCTTCGTGAACATCGTAGGACCATGTGCGAGAAATTTACTATGTATCCAGAATTTTGGTTGGAATGGATTGAGTAAGTGTTAGCTTTTGCAGGGATTGATTATTGCACGGAGTCACTGCATGTGTTGTTTTAGAGATGAAAAAGAATACGGAGGTGATAAAGAAGTGGTTGAAGAATTATTTGTTAAGGCTTGCAGAGATTTCCATAGTCCTAAAATATACTTAGAGTATGCGCAGTCTGCTTGTGGAGTGTCAATTGCTCATGCCGAGGAGGTAACATTATTTCATTATCATTTCATTGTTTTCTTCTTGATAAATTTACGTATTAGGTAATGGAAGAAGCGGTTAGTAAAATTGGTTTACGCTACGACTGTTCCTTCCTGATTTGGAATTCCTATCTCGATTTGGAAAAAATGATAATGAGTTCAATGGACGGTGAACTAGCGGCTGAGCGAAGGCAAAAAATACTTAAGCTTTATGGTAGAATGCTCCGTATTCCCCACATGGATATGACTCAATCTTGGAATGATTACTGTGCATTTCTGGGTAAGGCGCAACTTATACTTTGTTTCGGTGCATTTTCTCCTGACTTATCATTGGTAAAGGTCTGTAGGTTCCTCTCCGGACGAAACGGTGAAGGCTGCATACGAGAAGGCTCTGAAATTTTTGCCGGAACTGGACGGATTCGAAAACCGCTTAAAAGAAACGAGTACATTGGAAGAACAATTAGATATTTTGTGTGATTATGTGGAATTTGAGAAGAAAGGTTGCGTTTCAAGGATTGTCTATTTCTAAAATGTTCAAAGAGATGAATGGTACTTTAGAACCTCTACCAATAAGGGCCGGAAATAAAGTTTCTTCATTTAAGGCGGTGATCCTACACGCATTCAAATGGCGTACGAGCGTGCGCTGGTGGCATCTGCTTCCACACCGAATGCAAATCTTTGGCTTGAATATGGAGCATGGATCGATTTTGAGCTAAAACTTCCTTCGGTATGTTGAGTTGGAGATAATGCTACTTCTTTTCCTTAGTTGATAGTCGTTGAAAATAAAAATTTCCTGTTTTGTGCAGAGTATTCAAGCAATAATTTTTGTATTGTAGGTCGCTGTTGATGTTTACAGTAGAGCTGTACGGCACTCACCTTGCGCGGCTCTTTGGCAGCAGTACTTTACCGCTCTTGAACGAGCAAATATGGCAAGCGAAATTGATGCTAAATGGGCAAATGCTCTTGGTACTATTACAACTGCAGGGGAAGGTTTAGCGCTTTATAGAACACGTATTTATTCGTTACGTAGACTAGCTGTAAAGGAAGCACAGGCTGGAAGTCGTAAGTAGTTGTACTTTCAATTTTATTTCTGATTTTATTTTCTGCACCTTTGCAGCCGGCTCCTTCACGGTCCCTTATAGCTTTCAGATCCTGTTGATTACAAAAGAGTGATAGATGCATTTGATGAAGGTGAAGAGTTTTTAAAAAGTCGATTTGGTGCGCGCTGGGATAGCCCAAAGGCTCAGTTTCGAAAGAATTATGCACATTTTTTGTACACGCATGCGAAACAACCTAAGAAAGGTTTTGATTGCAATTTTTTCATGTGTACTTCCCTTATAATTTTTCTTTCGTTGTATTTTGGGCTTTTTTCAATATTAATTTGTTTTAAATTGTGATTGAATTTATCTTCACATTAATTTTTAGTTGATTATTAATTCCGTTTTTTATGTGATAGTCGGAGTACCTTCTTAACCAGTCATTTTTTGTTTAAATATTTTTTTTTCCTACAGCGACTGTTTATTATCTCCCTGACCACCGGTTTTTTTTATTTATTTAGGATTTTCAATATGGAATGATATATTGGCTTCTGGAAGTGGTCACATGGCGTCTGCATGGATAGAAGCTTCAAATTTGGAAAGATATTTTGGGTCTTTGAACAATGCAAGAACTCTTTTGTATAAAGCCGTCAACTCGGCCAGTGACTATCCACATATGGTAAGCTTTTAAATTCGTTATTTAGTTTTATTGAGGTTTGCGAACTGTAAATCCTTATGTATGACTTTTTTACTTTGTGAACTGTTGTAATTATTTATGGTCGTTGGTCGCGCTTTTTTTGTCTCGAAAAAAATAGTTGCTTGAAAAATTAATTTCATTGAACTTATACCTTTTTATTTGGTTCAGGCATTTGACGCTTTAATTCAGTTTGAAAGGGAGACGGGTACTTTAGAAGAACTCGACAAAGCATTGGTGAGAGTAAATGCTCAGGCTAGTCGGATTGCAGCAAGGCCGCAAAAGAAGAAATTGAAAAGTGAAACCAAAGAAGTCGGAAAATCTGGGCTGAATCGGAGCAAAAAGCCAAATGTTGAGGAGGAGAATGAGCTTAACCAGCCAAAAGTTATAAAAAGAACTGTTACCAAAAAATCTGACGAAGAAGCAGCCGGAGATTTTCATTCAGCTGTGGGTGATTAATCGGATTTACTAATTTTTTTGACGGGGTTTTTGTTTAAAAGCTTTAAGGTTCAAATACAGGAAAAATAGCGTTGGTTTATTGCTAAAGGTTCTATTAATTTCTTCACTATATAAGTTATATATTTTTGTAAAACTATTAGATTCAAGTTTAAATTATGCCTGTTTGATTTCAAGCAAAAGATTAGTGAAGAGTAGTAACTGTAAGGAATAGTATTAATCATATCGTAGCAGTTGAGCACTTGTGAGGAGAGCTTTGTTAGTTAGGGCCATTTTTTGAAAAATCATTGAACATTTATTCTTCTAACGTTAGGATTTGCAGATAAAGCGGCCAAAGGTAGTGGATAAAGATGGGTTTGCAGTCCCTCAGTTCCCTTTTAAACCACAGACAGTAGGTTCGAAAGAGGAACAAGCATCTGGTATGGAAACTGATAAGGAAGGTCCAAGTGGAAGTACGAAAACAGTGTTTATTTCCAATCTGGACTATAAAGTCCCAGAAGAAAAAATCAAGGAAATATTTCCTGAAGCAAAGGAAGTTCGTCTTGTGTACCGTGGTAATTTGAACAAGGTTGCTCTTAATATTGTTTTTTGAATACATTTGCTAGTAATGTTTGAGTTATATTTCTCGGTAAATTTATTTCTACGCGTCTTGACAGGGGTACGGATACGTCGATTTCCCAGATACTGCTTCTGCTGTAAAAGCTCTTGCAATGGATCGGTTTCCGATTGATGGTCGCCCAATGTATGTTTCTGGATATAATCCCCATGAAAAAGGCGAACGGAGCGAATTCAGATATGCTGTTGGATTGGAAAAGAATAAAATTTTTGTTCAAAACGTCCACTTTGATGCGACTCCAGAACAACTGAGAGTAAGTAAATGGCTTAGGAAATTATTTTTTTGTCTTTTTTGGATGCGATCAATTGTTGTCCTGCTGATTTTGGCATATTTTTTTTCGCCTGTTCGGTTATTATTTGCTGAAACTGAAAAAGAAGTGTTAAGGTGTTAATGGTATAACATGAAAAAAAAGATTTTGATTCTTCTGCTTTGTGGTTGCATCGAGAATTACATCGACACAGGGAAGCCCTTAACAGCGTTGAGATCAATGTTTTTAAGGCATTATACTTTTCATTTTGAGATTGGTTTAGGAAGTTTTTGCTGGATTTGGAGTTGTTAAGGACGTTAGAATTGTAACCCATAAGTCCGGGAAATCAAGAGGTCGTGCTTATATAGAATTTGAGGACAATGAGGCAGCAAAGAATGCAACAGAGGCAGAAATCGTCTTATTAAGTAATTTTCCACCAGTATTTTCCAAAGTTTTTTGGTGGTTTTGTAAATTGTGAAAATGTGATTTAGTACATTTTTAGTATCATTTTTTCAGATCGTAAACTCATAGTCGCGTTGAGTAACCCACCTAAAAGGGAGGATCAAGATCTCACAGAACCAAATTCCTCTGAAAAACAGGACCCAAGTCTTAAGAAGCCATTCCCATCAAACAAACAGGGTCAAGGTCTTATGAAGCCAGCCGCATTGTTGGTATGACTGCGCTGTCCTTCTTTTTGCTAAATGTTTAGAAGGACGTTTGAAATTTGTTTTTAAATGTCATATATTGAACCAAATTACAGGTAAGGCCGAGAAATAAGGTAAATTTGGTCCCACGTGTAGTCTCTCAAAGAAAGCAAGAGGGCAGAGTGGACACTCAATCTGGAGGTGTAGCGCAGTCAAGCACTAAATCTGAGGAGTCTACTTCAGGTCCTTCAAGCAATTCTGGGATGAAACTATCAAACGAGCAGTTCCGCAAATTCCTTTAAAGTTGGAAAGCTGTACCTTCGCATATCGGAACAAATGTAACGGAAAGTCCACTTAAAAATTTAAAAGCCAGAAAGTAAGAGGGCTGCAGAAAAGAATGGGAAGCAGGGGTGCCTTTTCCGTGTAAATTTGGAAATAACCATTCTAAGTTTTTCAGACATTATTTTGTGATCTCATTACTGAATGTCTGGTGGATTATTATTCCTTTTTTTGCCTACGCGATGTTGGTCTGCGTGGCACGTCAGCTTCATAAGTTCCGTTAATCAAGCCAATAAAGTCTTAAGTGTCCTGGTTGATAGAACAGAAATTTTTCTGGTCAGTTTAATTCTGAGGCAGCTGGTCACTGGTCACTTCACAACAATTGTTTTTTACTTTGAATACTCTGGTCCAACCTTCCTTTACATCCTGTCTGTTTAGTTAATTCCTCCGAAACATACAGGTTGATCTTCGAGCAGATTTACAGTACCAGCTTTGCCATCGCCACAGAAATTTGATTACCATAAAATTCAGTTTTTTTTGTAAACAAAGAAGAGTCCTCATTGAGAAGTTTTTCCCCAGCGACTTCAAGTGATTCCGTGGTGACCGTCGCCTTCACATTTTTTAACGGTAAATTTAGTCTCGCCGAGTTGCTGAACTTGGGATTTAGAATTATTCAAAAACAATGTATAGGTTGTTACAGGGCAAAAGGCCTTTTTTATTTTTTAGAGAACATTGTACCGGAAATATCCATTTTTTTCGAAGGGAAATTATCTTGCGTATTTTGATATCTCTCCTCAACAGTTGTTGCTCGAACCATTTTCAGCCAAGTATGTACTTAACGGCAACCACTCAACAGAAACAGTTCCCTTCTTCGAAAGTGCTGAAGAACGTTTGACGCTCCAGCGAATGAACTCCTGAAAAAACTTACACTTGGGTGGGGAGGATGCTATTACAACTGATAAAGACTGTTCAGTTAAACAGAGTTTGCCTTTGGATTATAAAGTGAGATGAGGGTGTGTTGACAGTGGTCAAATTCAACTTCTAACAACGATTTCCAGGTGTTCCATGAGCCATTTGAAGCCTTTTTCCACGTTTCCTCCGCAGTTAGTAAGTTAAATTAGCTGTAGTGCTGGTCAATTCAGAACGACGAGGAAACACCCTACAAACAAAACAACTAAAACTGTTTCTGGGCTTTACAAAAGCTGCTCAATTAGTAATCCTACTCTAAAACATCCAGCTTATGTGGAGTAACCTTAAAAAAACTAGGCATAAATTATGTAAAACCTTTCGTAAACAGTGGCGTTCTGCTCGGCAGTGGTTCCACTTCATTACATCTCACGAGCCCGGCTATCGTTAACTCCGGCAATTTTCAACAGTCTTCAGAATCAGAAGCAACAATAACTGCTTTAACGTCCAAAACGGCACTTTTTCACAGATCACGTTGCAGTCCCAAAAGAGAATTGGCGCAGTTTATTTGATACATTTAAATTCGGTGAAAGAAAGTTTTTACAGGGCCAGTCAAACTGCAGTGATGAGGGAGAAAAGGCCTTTATATTATTGACACGACGGCTTTAACTAAAAAACAGAATTAAAAGTATGGCTATATAAGACATGATCTTCCGTCTGTTCAAGATTAGTAAGGTACACTAAATGGCTCGTTATCATTTAGATTATGCAAAACCGCTCCATCCTTAGACCTATGATTTTTGAGTGAATTTTGGCAGAAAAACAATAAGTATGCGGCAGTAAAAAAAAACAATGAGAGCGAACAGGAGGAGAGTTAAAACTAACTTGCACGGCCACTGCGGGGACGGGAAGTAATTTGGTTCCGCTCTCTTTTGTAAGCTCCTTTGGAGTCCCGAATGAATCTCGATCAAAGCCGCAATCAATACTATGCTCCTTTGACTGGTGTACAATCAGGTACTGACGTCTTGTAAACAAGCGACGGCATTCACCAACAGTGCACTGATATCTAGAACTTTAAAGCTCAAATGATCTTTATATCTAATATTTTTTCTATGCACAGTCAGAAGACGCAAAAACTTTCAATTTGGATAAAACCGTCTGTGCGAGATGAACACACAGTGACCACTCAAAGATGAAACTTACCTCTTGAATCCTGCATGGACAATCCTTTCGTGTTCGTTTCTCGCTGATATGGAAACAAAACGACGACTGCACTCCCACCTACATTCAAATGGTTTCTCACCTAAAAATTTTAAATGACAATGCTATGAGAACCAGATTCACTAAAAGAGAGCAGCGTACCAGTATGTATTCGTCGAAGATGCACTCGCAAGGGGTTTGCAGTGGCAAAACGCATAAAACAAAATTGGCATTCGAATGGACGTTCTCCGGTATGAACTCTCATATGTGCCTTAAAAAGTTCAAAAAGTAGAGGAGGAAGTGCTTAAAGCTGCTATTTTACCAGGTAATACAATTTTTTCCTGACCGTTATTATGTAACCAGCAAATCTCATATTTTTACTTTTATTTTTGAGGGATATTTGAGCACCAGGCCACATTCCGTACACTCTGCAATAACTGCAGGACGGCGACGAACTCTTTTTGGTGATTCGGCGCATACCCCTGCTGCTACGGCATTTATCACCTGCAAATTCGAAATGAATCCCTGCATTTACTCAAAAAATAATGACTACGACACATAATTTGTGCATAAATGTCTTGTGTTATTTACTTCGTCAAGACTGCTGCTAGTTGTAGGAGGTGGAGACACTTTAATAGAACCAGTAGGAGACCGGGGATACACCTGCGTATTTAAAACAGGACTGCTCCGCGATTCCAAGGGAATACAATTCATGGGCCTTCTAATATTCCGTTTTGCAAGGTTTCTACTGTAAATTGGTCACAGATAAGACGTCATCATGCGTTTTGATGAAAATTAATAAAATCTTTATTCTACCTTCTTTCTTTCGAATGGGCCTTAAATTCGTGAGCATTCTTCAGTGCATTGGAAACATAGCTTTTTCCGCAACCAAACGAACAGGTAAAGGGCGTCTGCTTCAGATGGCGCCTAACATGCATCCTCATTGGAGTTCGCTGGGTGAATCTACAGTACTTCAATGATACAGAAGGGCAAAAGAATTTTCTCATAGGATACATTTCAATGAAATTAAGACAGGTGTACGAATTGAAATGCCGGAAGTTATTGAATCAGAAAAAGGAGCTGGAGCGCACTCTTCATTCAAAATTGACCTCATTCCACAAATAAGACACTCGAAGGGCTTTTCCCCAGTGTGTGTTCTTAAATGAGCTTGAATTTTAGAAGGATGTTTTGTTACGACACCACAGTATTCGCACTCAGCAACCTGAAACGAAACTGCTATTCCATTACTGACTACAGTGGCACAACCCATTTCAACAATGGCTTATAGTGATCATATCGTGACATAACTAGTTAACCAAAAGAGTTTTAGAAGTTGATAAAAAGCGCAATATTAATAACAAACTGTAGCTGTTCTTCGAATCCGCCGTTCCACCAAAAAATTTCCTTTATCAGTGACTACGAAACAAGATGACGAATGAACCTGGTTTTCCTAAAAATAAAAAACTGCGTTAAAAAAAGGATGCACCTGTAGGATGAATATTGGTTTCAAAAGTGGAGAGAGGTTTTAAATACATAATTGGGCAATTTCAGGTTGAGATTTCAATCCCAAAAAACTCCATTCTTATGACACTTTCAATGAGAAAAGCCAACTTTTCTTCTAGTCACGCTACTATTTGCACTATCGACTCCCTCTAAGTTACCATCCTCTCCGAACACTAATTCAGCTTCTACAGATGGCGCTCCACTGCAAGAGGCTCCTGGCAAAAAGTCGTGGCTAAATACTTCATTATATGACCAAGACGTAAAATCGTTCAGCGCCATATCTTGAAACACTTCGTCCCTTACATCTTCAGCAAACTTAAAGAATGATTACAATGTGAAACCAAGTTGCAAAAAAATACGGCGGATAAGAGAATAGGGATAACCGTTATGACAACCTGATCAACAGTGACAACCCTTTCAAAACCCGTAAAATTCACTATCCCCTCAGTTGTACCAGATGGTAACATGCGCGATAAAGCCATTTTCACGAAAACTTCAAATTAAGAACCTGTAACATAATAAATGGCAATTTTTTCATGTAATAATGGTCAGTGGCACAATTACAAGGTCTCAGTATGAACCTTAAATAACATTATTTAACTCGCTCTCAAAATTATCCTCAAAGACTTAAAAAATATATACTGTTCTTTACACTACTCTAGAATTGTAGCTTCCTTCTACAAAAATCCTGCTCCACGCAAACATAATATTACGTTTCATGAAGTTTGCATTTATTCTGAAACATAGCATTGGTTTATCTACTTATGCTTCTAGAGCAACTTCAACTTCATGTTTCGTTTTCAGCTAAAGTTTTGTGGTTCAGAAGATAACTTGGTAAAACAGAAATTAACGAAGTGAGAAAGCCAAAATGCTTTTCTTAAACCAATTAAGCAAAGACTGAAGATTAGATTCCCAGCTATTTAAAGGAAGTACACAGCAAAACTCCGTCTTTTTTAAAAATCACACAAATAACCCTACTGCTAGGAATCATAAACGACGCGCCAAAGTGATCAGAAGAAATGTTACAGAAGCAAAATAGTTCAAAAAATTTTGCTTCCTTATCTAAATGAGATTGCATCTGTACTGCCAAAGGAAGATAAGTCTTGCAGCATTAGTACAAGATAAAATTTTATGCGATATGCTTTTCAAATAAAGCTCAGAAGATAATTCCTGGCGACTAACAGATGACCCCAGTTAATAGGGACAAGCAAGTTTTCAGCAGTACCACCCACTTTACGAAATGATGGATGGCCTTTCGCAGTTCTGACAACAACATCTGATATAAAAACAACAATTTTAGCCCTTGCCATTTTTGTCCTCAAAAGCTAGAAAAGGCCAATGTTTCTATGCTTTGTTATGCTCACAAAGAAATGCGATAAAAAATCTACCTCTTTAATTGAAAAGGTTTTTACCTGCATGCAACAAAAAACTAAAACAATACCAAAAGAAAAAATGCACTAGTAACGTTAACCACCATTGACAACCAAAATTCATAAAGAAATTTGGAGATTTGAAAGATGGCAAATTCAAATTCAATGTTGTTTGACGAATTCAAACAACAACCCGTTGTCTTCCAAACAATCCTAATTGCAGTTTACAATTTGATGTGGTCGTCAGCAACTAAATTTAACGCACTTAAACAGAAAAATACGCCAACGTTTGCAAAGCTCGCAAGAAAACTCTGTGCAACCACAATCTTCAGGTCATCCAGTATTATTGCAACCGCGAGGTAAAAAAAGAACCACTCTTCAGATCCATCATATTTTAAACACTGATTTGGCCTTCTAAAAACAATTTGGATCCACACCAACTGCGTTTTATTTCAAAACTACTAGGTACGTCTAACGTGTACCATCACTGTAATCAAAAAAGCTATAAAGCACAAGACAAACAGCTGGAAAAACCACTTCACGATGGGAGCAAGTTAAATAAATGCTACTATCGCGAAACAGAACCTAAACACTTGTAAAAAAATTTTACACAAAAGCCAGCCAACTATAACTAATTTTTGTAGTTAGTCAAGTCCATTTGCTTCCTGATGTTACCCGTACAGTCAAAATTACTGACAATACAGAGGATCAAATGGAATTACAAGAACCCAGTTTTCAAAATATGGTGACCAGTCCAGACACAAGAATTCGCTTACCATGAGTAAAAACACTGCACAAAACTACTAAAAAAAGAATCTATCGCTAGATGAAAAATGTTTGTTAAAGCAAATAAAGAACTATTCAATTCCCGTTTGCTAACCAGGCGAACAGGAATTGACAACAATGAACTTACTAGAAATTTCGAAACAGCATTCCCGAGATCTATCCTGAACCAATAGTAAGAATGAAATGAAGATGAAGTATTTTTGGACCGCTTTGACCATCAAAAAGACTAACAAACTGTATAACTTTAATTTCTTCTTTCCAGAGAATTTTATATAACGGCAGTAGAACAAAATCAAACAAAAAGCCATAATTTCTAAAGTTGCTTCTTGTTGTAATATTAAAGACATCACTAAGCAACAAAGCCCAATCATGTATGATGCATTAATAATCACAGCAGTATTTAACAAGTAACAATCAATACTGCTTCAAATATAATAAGCAAATAAAAGTTGTAAAAGCAAAACAGTCATCGGTTGTATAATAAAAATGTTCATGATGAACAGATGGATGAGATCAAATAAAAAATTCAACGTAAAAATCCTCAATTAGAAGCCAGTGCAAAACTTTTTTAAAGAATTTAAAAAATAACGTTGAATGTGCACCGACCTCATAATTAAACTGAAATTGTAGAAAAAAGTTAAAGAGTTCACATTCGCAGCTTAGTTATTCGAAGCAGGATAGTAAAATTAACCCACTTCAAGCTTCAAAAACATGATGAGATATGAAAAAGAAAGTGCGTGAACAGCCACAGAATACGCAGCAACAGTACAAGGTAAATAAAAATCCACTTCACGCGAAACTAGGCCAAAAGACTTCAACAAAACAATATGAAACTTCCCAGTCACGCGCAAATCAACCTCTATTCAATCTCATAACTGCGCTTACATCATATAATCATTATCATTATTTTTTTATCTTTAAAAACAT